TAGTCACGTGACATGTTATAAAGGGTAAAGGTCATCTCTTGAGACGTATAATGCACCAAAAGATAAACTCGTGTAAAAAATTTCACGCCAATCCTTTCGGCTGTTCCAGAAATTTCCAGCTGATCAATGGATCAATAAATGAATCTATGGTATTTAACCTGTATATTTATATAGATTGTATGATATGTAAACCTGTATATTTATATAGGTTTATGATATGTAAACCTGTATATTTATATAGGTTTTACAATATGAATACTTGTATATTTATATAGGTTTTACAATATGTAAACCTGTATATTTATATAGGTTGTACAATATGTAAACCTGCATATTTATATAGGTTTTATAATATGTATACCTGTATATTTATATAGGTTCTATAATATGTATACCTGCATATTTATATAGGTTTTATAATATGTATACCTAATCTGAACAACCAAAATATAATCCAAGATTTATTCAATTACGACAGCGGTTCTCAACCTTTTAAGCTCGGCGACCCCTTTTCACAATTCCTCACTTGGCCGCGACTCCTCCCCCCTTACACACACACAGCAATAGAAGAGTAGACAATAACAATCCATATTTTCGATGGTCTTAGGCGACCCCTGGCAAATCGTCAATCGACCCACAAAGGGGTCGCGATCCACAGGCTGAGAACCCCTGACTTACGAGATAACTTGAAAATCTCTTATGATGCACACAATATAAATATGAATATTGAAAGGGGAAAACATTGACATACTATCTGGGGAGTTAATTTCTTTTAATGAAAAAAAAAAGGTTAACCTCTAATTAGCTGCAGTTTAAATTGATAGATAAAATTCTGCAATGTAAATATTTTTACTTTAATCTTGAGTGATTGGTTTGGCAAGAAATATGAATTTAAGAGTAGAAGTATAAAATAATTTCTAAAACTCATATTGTGTTTAATCAAGTTTGCATATATATAAATAGTTATTTATACTCGTAGGGTGGACAACTGCACACCATATATATAAAGTAATCCAAATAACTTTTCAATTATTTATAACGTAATACTTGTGAATTATGGAAACTTACAAATAAAAATCTATATAGAAAAAAAAACACAAAAGAGGCCTAAGGCCCAAGGATTCCTATGATGATAAAGCTAAAATTGAATAGAGCAAATTCCGAGGTTTCCTATTAAAAAACAAAAACAAAATAAACTTCTAGTCTAAGGACTTTAAATTATATAACAGTATAATTATTTAAAGAATTAATTGGTGGTTAAGGGCTTAACTCTCGAACCATGTTCGAATCCCAATAATGGGATTTTAATGTCATGATAATTAGAACTCCCTGGTTCCACCCAACTCTAATCGGTACCTGAAGCAAAGACGGTTGACCGTTGTGCTGGCTATATGACACCCTCGCTAACCGTCCACTCTAGAAACAGATGACCCTTACATCATCTGCACGACAGATCTTAAGGTCTGAAAAGGGGGTAACTACAAAAAACAAAACAAAAAACTGGAGTCTACTTTGGAAATCCGAACCCGTTGCGACAACTTCGAGATGCATTCGTTTACTTGCATAGAAAAGAAGAAGAATCATTCATAACACATAAGGTCACGTGGAGGGCTCGGTCTGCATGCAATACCAAGACGTCTAAGTCAAAGGTCACGTGGAGGGCTCGGTCTGCATGCAATACCAAGACGTCTAAGTCAAAGGTCACGTGGAGGGCTCGGTCTGCATGCAATACCAAGACGTCTAAGTCAAAGGTCACGTGGAGGGCTCGGTCTGCATGCAATACCAAGACGTCTAAGTCAAAGGTCACGTGGAGGGCTCGGTCTGCATGCAATACCAAGACGTCTAAGTCAAAGGTCACGTGGAGGGCTCGGTCTGCATGCAATACCAAGACGTCTAAGTCAAAGGTCACGTGGAGGGCTCGGTCTGCATGCAATACCAAGACGTCTAAGTCAAAGGTCACGTGGAGGGCTCGGTCTGCATGCAATACCAAGACGTCTAAGTCAAAGGTCACGTGGAGGGCTCGGTCTGCATGCAATACCAAGACGTCTAAGTCAAAGGTCACGTGGAGGGCTCGGTCTGCATGCAATACCAAGACGTCTAAGTCAAAGGTCACGTGGAGGGCTCGGTCTGCATGCAATACCAAGACGTCTAAGTCAAAGGTCACGTGGAGGGCTCGGTCTGCATACAATACCAAGACGTCTAAGTCAAAGGTCACGTGGAGGGCTCGGTCTGCATACGATACCAAGACACCTAAGTCAAAGGTCACGTGGAGGGCTCGGTCTGCATACGATACCAAGACGCTTAAGTCAAATGTCACGTGGAGGGCTCGGTCTGCATACGATACCAAGACACCTAAGTCAAAGATCACGTGGAGGGCTCGGTCTGCATACGATACCAAGACGCCCAAGTCAGTAACGTTTTATCTGACCTGAGTCTCGAAAATGTTTCCACGTCTGACCAGTGACCCTAGCTGTTCAGTTAGCATACTTCTAAAGACTTCGCTTCTGTCTGCGCCGAGCTGCTGCCTGAACTTATTCTATAGATTACGCGCAATATGAGTATACACTTTTTTTATCTTTATATTATATTTTGATTGTTAAAATCATATTTCATGCCAAATTAATTACATTTATGCAAAATCTGTAAAGCTATACATTTTTACATTGAAGGACTTTATCTTAAGTTCATATGTAGGTGTTACTACTCCGGTGGTAATTGAGAGACACAATCAATTTTATTATAAGACCACCACAGATAATAGGCTCATACATCCAACTCATTTATGTACACTGGACAGTCAGGGCCTCCCCTAACAATTGCGGGGTCCTAGGCGAAGCGGATAGCGCGGAGCTCAGTATGATGGGGATAAGCTTAACGTCCCGTTTAGATCTCGTCAACTAGAAAAGGTAGTGACAATCCGACATCATAATATTTTAAAACCATTTAAAGGCTGCTTTTTTCTTTTCTGAAAACGAAAAATCTAATTTTTACAATCAATTATTCAAACAGCTTTTTCATAAACATACACCATCTTTATAACGATTCACAATTAATTGTAACAAACAAGGGATGCTTTTTTTTTTAGTAAGGGAGAAGACAATTTACCATTTTTAACACACTTATGTAAATGGTATCATAATTTTGATCAAAATTTTTTTTTTTACAGTTTTATTGCAAAGTGATGCAAGCTCTTCCATGCTAACTACTGCATTTGTATAAAAAAAATGTTTACTTTTTTTAAAGAGAAAAAAATTATTTACTATGCATATAAGTGAAACATAATTTAAAACAACGATTAATAAGTAGTTTTTCATATTATCGCGTGGACTGTCACCGAGACACATACATATGGATCACTATACTAAAGGAAATTTTTTTTCTTGAGGCTATTAATAAGAGATTGACCCTTTACAAAACAATTAGATACTTATTATAAGACATCAGTTAGGCCAGGTTCACAACATCTAACTTTACATTCACCTTCACCTATCCCTTGGTCTATTGGGGCACCAAATAGGATCTGTCAACATCTTTCTCTATTCTTCTCTGTCATTTGCCTTTGATAGAATTTCATTCTGGTATTCTTTCTGAAAATATTGAAACCTGCCTTTTTACCTGCCTGGGTGGACCACTTCGGGGGCCGATTTTGACTTTGTGTTTCCACACAAACTTTCTTTGTAACCTTGTTTTTTAGTTGGCAACGATGAGGTTCTGTGTTTGAAGTTAGTTGTTGCCTCCCATCAGTCTTAGAACAAACGAAATGAAAGTCTGGGCATTACTTATGGTCGAAACGATGTCGCGATGAGGTTCTGTGTTTGAAGTTAGTTGTTGCCTCCCATCAGTCTTAGAACAAACGAAATGAAAGTCTGGGCATTACTTATGGTCGAAACGATGTCGTCCACACAGCAGTTCCCCCCCCCCCCCCTCTACGAAACCGATGTGTCCAAGGGATCAGTATCGCCGCAGGTTCTCCAGATTGTAGTTCTGCGTATCGCAAGTTGCCTAAGGGACACCAGCTCCGGATTTTCCCTCAGGGTTGTCTCTAAAAGCCCTTCCCATGTTTGGGTACAGCCGAAAGGCAGTGGATAATTGGATTCAGAGTTTATCTTCTCCAAGATAGGTAGACAGCCAACGCTAACGAGCCCATCCTGCTCGAAGGTACTGGTTTAGGTGCCAGTTGCTCGCCTTTGCCCCTGTCAGTAACAATTCCACCAGGCTCAATATCTGAACCACAGGTGAAGGCCAGGAGTTGGACTATAGTCAGAGTCTATTTAAATAGGTAAGGGTGCGCTCAAAAAAATACCACTTGGCAGATAACAAACTTGCGGAACCTGTGTTTAGAACAGTAGATATACATATATTGAACGCTGCGGTGACTGCACTTTCACGGCTAAATGCGGTACTCTCGGTGACTGCACTTTCACGGCTAGATGCGGTACCTCGGTGACTACACTTTCACGGCTAGATGCGGTACCTCGGTGACTGCACTTTCACGGCTAGATGCGGTACCCTCGGTGACTGCACTTTCACGGCTAGATGCCGTACTCTCGGTGACTGCACTTTCCCGGCTAGATGCGGTACTCTCGGTGACTACACTTTCACGGCTAGATGCGGCACCCTCGGTGACTGCACTTTCACGGCTAGATGCGGTACCTCGGTGACTGCACTTTCACGGCTAGATGCGGCACCCTCGGTGACTGCACTTTCACGGCTAGATGCGGTACTCTATAAGAATGTGGTGAAATATCATGGGCTGGACCTTCAGTCTCGCTGAACATGATCATCTAGCTTATGATAGACCTTTGGACACAGAACTCGTTGAAGAGTCAATCTCTCTTTCCAGTCGTCTAGATAAAATCCTTCCCTTTGGTCAAGAGTCAGTATAATGCGCAAGCTCGATCAAAATGAACTCTACAAAGATATAAATGTATTGCTGTCAATAATAAACGTTTGCTGTAATAAGAACTACAGCAGTTTAAAATCATCAACACATTAAACACTTTTCTTTTTAAAAAAATATATTTATTTACAGTATTTACAAGTTAATTACAAATTGAATTTACAAATCGAAAATATATCAGACAATTTTATATGTAAAAACAAAACGATAATATGAATGAAGTCATTCACCACAAAAGAAACATATCTAGACACAGACATTTAAAACAGGTATAAATGTTTTATTTCTAGGCCATAGATTTGCAATCTGTTTAACAAAATCCCAAAGGCTCTGCCACGTAGGTAACATACTCTATAGAGTTCCCAAGTCCAAAAAGGCTCATAATATATTGAAGCATTAACGAAAAATCCTGATGATAAAATGTTGGATATTGCAATCAATGTATGAAAGTTAGCATTAAATTATTTAATTTCCATTAAAGAAGTTAATATGCATAGGTATTCAAATATCAGTGAATAATCATTGGGCTAATAACTATCTGACTAAATCAGATACATTTAATTGCAAGGAAAATGAAACAGAACTGATAAATGTACAAATATAAAGTCTCTATGTTTTATCTATTTAAATGTATGTTCTATTCCTTTAACTCTTGGTAACCTAATATTATAAAAAACATAAATCCGTCTATTATATTATTCAGATAGGTCCATACCACTCTGTGGACTGCTACGACACTACACAAGATTTGATCAAAATTTTCCAGGTATTTCACCGAAAGTAAACATATATTGTAGACTTCGCTTGTTTATTTTAAAAAAAAATATTAAAATATACTAAGAAAACTTCTTTGCATTGAATGGACATATTAGTCGGTTAATGGTTAATAGTGGCAATATGTTAATCTCGAGGTCAATAATATGTGAATACAAATAATTAACAAGACATATTACACAGGAAATTTGTACACAAATAATGCTATTATTTTGTTTCAGGAAGCACAACTCATCAAATAACATGGCTTAACTTAAAACAGGAGTTATCTGACCTGTTCTTTATTACAATATACAAGGAAGAAATAGACCCTTCCTGTATAGTACATCCTTGTTCTACAATTATTAAAAGTTTATACTGTATTTTTTTTTTTTTGTTATATTTGCTATGGTCAAAACTCGAAGTGTGGCCAGCTCGCGAAATGGAAATGACCGGGCGTCTGACCAATACCCGATGTACTTAAAATTAATTGCGAATTGATCAGCCAATTTGCACTTTGGCTGGTCAGTGTGAAACAATAAATTCAAAATGGCGCAAATCGGCTGATTTTGGAATTGTCCGTAGCATATATGCATATCACAATAACACTATTGTTTCATACAGTATCCACTGATCATGCTGCCAGAAAGGCATCAATATACTTTATTAGGCGGTCAGTGTTTGAAATTTACCACATAGTTTGATATGCTATACTGGCTTTATTTGTGGGAAGCGTGGTCGAAAGGCTAAGTACGCCTGAGCTTAGATTCGACACCCGACTAGAGCAGAGTTGTGTTTATTGAGCGCCTAAAGGCAGCACGAAAAACTTCCCCCAGATACCCCACCCCCAAACTGGTCCACAAATGAGATTGGGCCATAGCGCTCTGGGCATGCTATAAGCATGAAAGTAGGGCTATATAAAAGCTATGATTTTTTTTTTAAATACATATACAGCCCATGAAAATGGCATTGATAATTATGAAAGTTGCAAAATCTTTAAGAAATAATTATCTATGTTCATTTCCCTTCATTTACAAATTAAATCAACAGGCGCAATATTTGCAAGATTTGTTATTACATATATAAGATCGATGCGGGTTCATAACAAGTCAAGACTCAAACACTATAAGATTATAATAGTTTGAATCATAGTTCGGTGAGCTATGGTCCCTATTCCGAAGACATCCTCTTCTTCAATTAGTTGACAGTATTGCGTGACAAAGAGGAAGTGTATGTTATAGATCTACTTCCATGGCAAGCATTAGGTTCTTTTGTCATAATTTATGGGGATTACATTGGAATGTTTTTAAACATATAGGTCAGGCTTTAGCAGTTTAATGTCTTTATATTTAGGTCAGACAATTGTTATGGAATGTTACGAAGACCTCGTGCTTTTTCCTATGCGTTAAACGGATTGGTCAAGATATTCATGACAATTTAAAGATACCCGAATTGGTGAACACATGGCCTTTTACCGTTTTTTTTCTTCTTCAGGTAAATGGTGAACTTTAACCTTTTATCTCCGTTACTCTTTTACAAAGAGGGGCTCAACCCATTATTACTCTTTCACATTTTGGTGATGGTGAACCTTTTGTCGATGCCCCACTCATTGCTCATGGTGGTCAGCCCCCGCGTGCTGCCTGCCTCGGAGCTATCGTCATTCATGTTGCTCCCGCTGTCTAGCCCGTTGCTTTGGACGCTGTTGATGCGCACTATATTTCGGCTGTTCTGGCGCCCGAACTTGCCCATCAAGAAGCTGAGCTTGGGATGAGGGAGTGGGCTTTCCACTCTCCTGCTGCCCCCGGGGCTGTCAATGTCGATGGCGTACTCCAGAAAGTTGTCTCGCTTCCCGGCAGGAGTGTCGGTGAACCTCAGGCCGGAGTCCGACTCTTGCGTCTTGACGGAGAACACGTGCTGGTACAGGAGGGCGGCTGCTATGGCGCCGACGCTGGGAGCCACCCAATAAATCTGTCATGAACAAGGAAAAAGTTGTATTAATGTTACCCGGAATTAGATTTAAATCCGATGTTACAATCATTGAATTTATCGAAAGAATTTAGGATTTTATTTCATTTGTTTCGGAAGAATATAAAGAGAATGTTTTAAAGTGCAAAAGTTTGAGATGATCAGTAGACCAAGAGGCAAAGATGGCGGCAGGATGGACATGGACCCAGCTGAAGGGAGATGCCCAGAACTGAGTCCGATGGCAAGTGCTGTTGTGGCCCAATGCTCTACTGGGAGTCAAAAGGATTAAGTCAAAGTTGTAAAGTGTGTGTGTGTGTGCGTCTTGGCGGATGTAATCAGACGTAATACATGTATTTTGACTAAGATGTTCTAAAATGGATAGAATTCTTTATTCTTAAAGCCACAATTCACATTGCGACATTTATAATATATGCGGGTATGGAAATGTGTTTCATTGACTTTACATATAATAATTACTCCATTTATCTATTACGATCTATGATGTGTCATTATAATTTACACATCTATCCACACTTCTTACTATGAAACTAGACTGTACAAAAGTTATTTATTAAACAATATCTACTTTAATTCTACAAATAAATTGCTGCATTCTTTGTATCTCTCGATCTCCCTCATGTTCTCTAAAGCACCATGATTCTCTCTCTCTCTCTCTCTCTCTATGTCTCTCTGTCTTTGTCTCTCTCATATATATATATATATATATATATATATATATATATATATATATATATGGCTGGCTGCCTGGTCGTGCGGTTTGCACGCTGGACTGTCGTTCAGATTTATCGATGGTCCCGGGTTCAAACCCTGCCCGCTCCCATCCCCCGTCGTCCTGCGGGAGGTTTGGACTAGGAAGTAATTATCTTCAACTCTGAAGGAACATCCGAAACATGTAAAACATTTATATATATATATATATATATATGTATGTATGAATGTGTGTGTGTCGCTTTCATTTCCCGTTCTTATTTTACTCCTTGAGTGAGCTCCCCTCGTCACTAACCATATATTTTCTGTTACACAACCGCACACAGCTACTGCTCAACACTGTGAATAAGAAGAAACCTGTAGGCGACCTAACACAGCCCTAACTTACAAATATTCTCCCAGATAACCAGCTAGCTAAAGGGGCGCAACCAAATTTTTTGTTTCGTCTATAGAGCGCCACAAGCAAAGTTGGAGAAATGCTCACGTACACAATAGGGAAGTGGGGAAGGGGGGAGGAGAGCGGGGGGGGGGGGGGCGATAGATCTTGCTATCCCTGGTGAATGGCATCCTTAGCACATTTTCTGATTATAATAACTTACGTTAATGCGAATGTGGAAAAAAAATGTTTTTGTTCAATTGCTGTGGCCACTCTGTGGTCAATAAAGACTTACCCAATGGTTGGCCCATATACCAGACCATACTGCTGGACCCAAGGAACGAGCTGGGTTCATGCTGCCTCCTGTCACAGTGCCCTGGGGGAAAAAAAGGCGGTCATGAAAGGTGGTCATTTTCCATGACTATTTATAATTATAGACTTGCGATAACTAGAATTAAGACTTCTTCATTTATAAATTTGTTGTGAGTAAAAGTAGCCTACTCTTTTCTCAAAATAAAAACAACAAATACAGAAATAGAAATAAAATCAAAGATAATGTCCTTTTATCATGATACATAAAAACATAAAAGTCCTACAGATAGGCAGTTAGACAGGCAGACAGACTGACAGCTGATGCTAACAGGCTCCTCCTGTCCCAAGATTATTAGTTTATGGCTTGATATATATATATATATATATATATATATATATATATATATATATATAGAGAGAGAGAGAGAGAGAGAGAGAGAGAGAGATACATTTTAAGAGGGATTATCCCCCTTGAGATATTCAGACCATTCAAGTTATTTTCCAGTGTTAAAGTTGTATGTTACTACACATTGCATATTATTTTGCTATTATGTTATTGGAAAGACACAGTAAAGACACTATCGCCTCTAAATAATTATACAAATGATTGCACATTCACTTACGCTCCAAGCAATATTGGCCGTCACACAGAGTCCAATACTCAGTGCCGTTGACCCGCTGTGGTCAGTTCGCAGTCTATCACTGCTGGCCATCACAGTCAGCACTAGAAGAAATGTGGTGACCATCTCGATAAGGAAACCCTAAAAAAATTTAAAAAACATAGACATTAGGATATAAACAGAGCCCTGTCTGATAATTGATGCGATTTGAGGTCAACGTTCTTGCCACATGACACCCTTCTAAAACATTAGCCGAAAAAAATTTAATTTGATTTTTCATCATATAGATAGATAGATAGATAGATAGATAGATAGATAGATAGATAGATAGATAGAGAGATAGAGAGATAGAGAGAGAGAGAGAGAGAGAGAGATAGAGAGAGATAGATATGCTTAAAGCGTAATATAAACAGCTTACCTGCCACTGTTCGACCCCCTCTGCCAGTGTGGTACTACCTAGACCACCTCTCCATGGCTCCGGTATTGACAAACAAAGTATTCCGGCTCCGATTATGGCTCCAAGGAGCTGGAACACAATATACAGCGCACTCTGGAGAGAGAACAATTTCTAGATTAATATTCAAGTATTGACCTTGACCTTATTTTCAGAAATTAATATTTTTACGCCCTAGCCATAATTTCCTACATTTATTTTCATTCTATGCTATATTTGCCCATATTGTAATAAAAATGTATATAATATTGTTCACAAAGTAATGACTCAAGTTATTATACCTTACATAAGTCAAGATATAATACGCCTACAACGTATTACCTTACAAGAAATCAACCGCTCACAAGTACATAAAAATTATCATATAATTTTTTAGAAAATACATAGCTAATCAGTACATGGGTTATATTGAAAAAGATCGTTTTTTTTCCGTAGTACATAAGAATGTCCTGTCTATATAGGTCTAGTAAATTGTGGAGTAAGATCGATAATTGCGGGCATCTTATATACCCCTTCCACATTCAACTAAATTTAACAGAATATCTGAAACTTAAAATGACATTGACCAAGTAGGGTTTGTTGCTGAACATAAAAAATATATATGTGTCAGACGCGAATAGCCCAATTTTCAGTAAAAGAAATTACAAAAGTCATTTCTCTATAGAAGAAGTTACGAAGGCTTTATATAATACCACAGACCTATATATACTACAATAAATATAGGTTTTTGATTGCTAGTTACGATTTATTTAGGTAGGTGCCGTTTTACTATTACATACCAAGTATTAGAGTTTAGAAAAACCCAGGCATGTTTCTTGTGCAACGCTATTAGCTAACACCTCATATCATCTCTCCATTAGTATATTTAGATCTATAATCTAATTCTAGTCTAGATCTATATATAAAAATCGAATAGATCTAGATAGTAATAGTTAAGATTCTAT